ACACATGAATAATATTATAAATAATAATTTACTACACACATAGTCACATGTCACACAACCTTTGCTTCAAATTTTTCCTACATTTAATTCCCAAGATATACTCACCACCATTAATCCCTTTAACAAAGATCAATATTTTTTTTTTTTGGAATCRTKTTAATTTTTCATGCATCAASATTGYRAATGGAATTGATTTGTGTGTATAATGTGGTATAGTCGGGAACACACGCATACCAACAATAATTTATGCTACATGTTTACACCCGCAGTCACATCACGCACACACGAGCTTTTAATATTCTCCATAATAAGCTCCTTAAATATACGAACCATCACCAATCCCCGATTATCAACTTTTTTTCCGAATTATTTATTTCTAGAAATTAAAAAATGTATAATTATGCTTCTTGATAGGTTATATTWATTTTATTCTMYGAATAATTAATTTTGTTGAAAATTTAAGAATTTWTTTCACTGCTACATTATATGTTTTTTAAAAGTTTAATAAATTTCAGAAAATATGAAAGCTACGTTCCTTTTAAAMCWTACGTGTCTACCAAACAAAATGCCAGGTTARGTTAGGTAATTGACTATTTTAATAACATTCATAATCAGTAGATTGACATAATGTCAAACTTCTTGAAAATCTATAGTTAAAAATGGATGTTTAAACAAATAAATAAATAAAATATATTATTATAAATCGTAAATAATTTGTATTATTGTAATGACTAATGTTCATCACGGTAATGTACCTATTTTGCATATACAGAACGCCGTGCTATAATGATTTAGAAACAATGATAATTTATTATATTAATATACCATTATGATAAATCATCGGGTAAAAAAATAAAAATKTCTCTAATTTCTCTGTTCAAAATCACCTAACATTTTTTAAATGAATTCATATTCAATTTCWTTTATTTTTTATTTTTATTTTTAATTCGAACTCTCCATAACCCATTTTTGTAGATTTTCCTGTAGAAACGAACGAATTCTCTGCAGGATACTGTTTTAAGAGCATCGATGAGTTGAATTTTTTGGTATCAATACATTGAAAATATGTCATCTAACAATAATATAATAATGGCTACKCGCGTTTTTTCACTTAATTTTGCCAGTGGGCGTTGTTCCGGTATCACATTACAAGACATGATTTATCATTGTGAGGCAATGTTAATTTTTTATTTTTGTCTGCAGAATACCTAATGCAGGCAGACGTCAACGTCTGGATGATCGATTACCGCGACGTCGCGGCCGGGCCCCGTGAGTGTTATTTCGCTGCGGTGTTCAACCTGCCGGCGGTGGGGAAGTGCAGTGCCCAGTTCGTGCGTAAAATCATTGAGCTGTCCGAGGTGGAATTGCCCGAAGAGGTGATGCACGTGATTGGGTTCAGTCTAGGTGGCCAATTAGCCAGTCAGATATCCAAAAACCTTAAGCCCATCAAGTTGCCGAGAATCACGGGTGAGCGATTAATTAATATTGTAATATAGTTATAATGATCCGATCATTGTAATCATTTAGTGTACACAAGTGTGTTACATGGTTTTAAATACGGACATCGATGATGGTACTTATCATATTGTAACTGAGTCAAACCGAATAGATAATTTTTGTTTTGCGAATTTGATATTTTTAAGGGAATTTATGCACAAGATATCGAACGAATTACCTCACGTATGGTAATGACACTGAAAAGGTACCATTTTTGGTATGGAAACTATGGAATATCTTTAACTACAGTAATTTTGAATAACTTTACTATAGACATATTATATAATATTTCCTGTGTGTAGTACGTGAAAAATATTACTACATTTAAAAAGATTTTAGTTCGATGAATATAGGTGTCTAGCTTATCATAAAATATTAAATAATATAACAAACAATCACTAAAAAAAATAATAATAATATTTTCGTTTMTTGTCGATTGAAACTTAAATCACAAAATAAATATAGTGATCAATTTGTATTGTTTTTCTTTTAGGACTGGATCCGGCCTTGCCGTTGTTCTACAGCTCACACCTTAACAGAAGACTGAGTCGCAACGATGCAGATTTTGTGGATGTGATACACACGAACGCAATGATCCAGGGCCAGTTGGCGCCATGCGGTGACGTAGACTTTTATGTCAATGGTGGATTAGCACAACCGGGCTGCCACAACAGTTCAAGTGCGTGTTTCTTAATAATGTATAAAGGATGATTTTCCGACATTTTTTCTTAATACCTTGGATAATACTTCGGATGAAATTGCATAATATAAGAGAACGTCAAACATGCACTCTGCGTGTAACAACTTTACTCCCTCTGTATAGGTATTTATAGTAGAATTACGAAAATTCCAAGAATAAAAGAACTTTATCTATGCTGCAGTAGCATAGCGTATTAATTTTTTGATATCACTAATCCATAGTTTTAATAACTAACAGGGCAATGGCTTCAAATACGAATTTATTTTACTCATATTAATACTAAATTCCCAAAAATAAAATGAATTCAAACAAAAGTGTTTTTCTATTTATTATAATTTTTTATTGTAAGTTTTTAATATTTTTGAAGAAATAAATGTTTATTCTGAGCCACCCGTCGAGACCATTGGTGTAGGGTATAGGTGACATAGGTAGGATGTAGGTAATATTTTCCCTCCAAAACCACAGTCACAGTAGAAAAAATAATCACTGCTGTGTAACCTTCGATACATTTAGCGAAGAACTTTTTTTTTTAGAGATATATCCAGTGCCACATTTAGACATTTTGCGCCCCGGTGCAAAAAAAAAACGGCGCCCTTTTAAAGGCCCATTCATAGGGAATATAAGAGATAGATCCTCATAAACCTTTAAAATTTTAAGCAAAGGAAAGAATATTTGTTTTACTCTGTGTTGTTTTTTATAATATTGTTTAATAAATGCATGATCTCCGCATAGATATATTTAAATGTTTATCACTTAAACACTGTTTATAATAAGTATAAAAAATATTAGCTTACTACCATCGCAAACAGTCAATATTACTTTTGGAAATATTTCCTAATCTATATCTTGTTGAATGCCCATCTTCATTTTCTCGGGGACTTCTGTTTTAAAATATATTATTTTAAATACAATAAGTATAGTCGGTATAGAGCCAAAATTATATAAAATATTAACTTACTAGCATTGAAAACAGTCTGCTACTTTTGGAAAATATGTGCTTGTATCTGATGGTTCAATGTTAACCTCAAGTAATTTTGGGACTTCTGTTTTTGAATATAATATTATCAATAGAAATAAAACTATTTAAATACTTTTTTATGAATTAATTAGTTATGATATGAGTTAGTATTATACAATAATACAATWATATTCTWATATGATAACTCAATTTTTTGGTAAACAGGGAAATAAACTAAACGGACATGTCAGTCATGCTATTTAATTCATAAATAATAAATATTTTAGTAAAATACTCAGATTATTAATTGTTTGTATCATTGCCTATATTGTATCTTCCTACTAACTAATGGATCAATAATACAATTAATTTAATTTTGATTTATCTAGACACATTTTATCAAGTTTTAATACTATGTACATTGTACCTACATGATTTATTGATTTAAGGTTTTACATATTTGTAACTATTTATTTTTGCACATTTTAAGCTTGGTGGTGCAAAACTAAGAACTCTGATTAATAGGTACATAGGTATATTGTAACTTGTACATCAGTATAATTTATATTATATAGTGTATATATTTAATTTCAACTGTAGATGTTTTTTCTCGAAACATGTMTTGAATTTTTCTGCATTTGTTTATAACATTAAGTTCATTTTTGTGTTTTAACAAAGTTGTTTACGATTTTGAAAATGATTTCATTATTAATACAATATTAAACAAATATAATAAATAATAATAAATAAATCGTTTTAACAGCGCTGAATAGTTAAAGAAATAAAATAATACGGGATCACTAATCACATTGGCATCATTTACAAATACTGAGGATTGAAACGCTCAAGTTTGTTGACTAATAAGTAATAATTGTATTTTCATAGGCACCCGCAGGGTGGTGCAAGCTGGGGAACTTGCCCCCCCTGGCTTTTTCAAAATATTTTTTTTAAATTGAATGTTTTAAGATAAATGACTATATACTATACAACAAATTTAAAGTATAAAATAAGTTGTAATATAATATAATATACATTGTATACGAGTATAATAAAAAAGGTTATTATTTTAAAACACCTAGTAAAATTATAATATTTATCCTCAAATC